TATATTTATACAACTTTTCAGTAAAATCAGACGTTTTGATTGGTTGGCTTTCGTGTGTTATCAAAGTATAGATACACGGATTACGTCAAAACTAATTGTTTGTTGTATAAAACAGATAGATCTCATTTTTCCGTGCGTGTGTACTCTAATAGATACGATGTGCGTCTCGTGCGTACTTTTTTGTTCTCACTACATTTTGACGTCATCTGTGTATCTATTAGAGTACACACGCACGGAAAAATGAGATCTATTTGTTAAATACGAGGTGTTTGCACAACCACAGTGGTTATAGTGAAGATATGATGGTGTGCACTAACCCCTTCTCCTTGCCCCCTAGAAATGCTAAYAGTCTAAACATCACATCAGAACCTAAAAACAAAAACACTTTATCATACCGAGACTATCCTCGTTCTCATCTTGATCAGTGACGTCATCGTTTGTTTCCACAGTAACTAGCACACGGTTTTTATCTGTTATCCGAGATGGCGAGGGCGCTGGTAAGGGTGTAGTAACATCGGGCTTTCTCAATGGTTCATACCATGGTTGTAGGGTGGGGTACCATGGCCGAGGTCCTACCATATACGGGAAATGAAAAGGCTGTAGGTGTATTGGAAAACCAGAAGTGACGTCACATGGGTAAGGTTTGTAGAACGGCCATTGACTATAATATGGGTTCATGATTTGAGGTTGGTGTAAGAGGAAGCTACTTCTTACTCGTTGCCATTGGTTACGCTCATTACAACGGCTTTTCAGTAGAACTAGAGTACTCGCAGCTTCTTGGATTTCTAGTTGGTCCATATTTTCCTCGTTCATTACTCCTGAATGAAGAAAACAAGGCACTTTCACTTAATTACACATTTCTAGAATTTTCGTTTACATAGTTTATTGCTTGTATTAAAATATCATGTTAAAACACCAGTACATATTTTTATAACATACCGATACAATCAAATTAAGTAAGGGCACGATAAGATATAATATTTCCATAAACTGGTTTGAAAAGCCTTGAGGAGCAATTATCATTAATTATATATCTAGTTAAAAGTTTCATACTCTTATAATCAATCTTGATCAAAAACAAGCAAGCAAATCAACAAAGAAATTAAATTCAAGAAGACGATCTTGAAAAATCAAACAAATCAGACATCCAACATATTATTAAGTACATGGCATATGCAATCTGCTAACTATGCCACTTTTACAGCGTTTGCTTGTTGTTTTCATGTGTGACTTCTATATTTTCTACATCAAGCTTTAATAATGGCCATCGTTTGAAAATTCCGTAAATTAATGTATGAAGACGACCAAAGTTTGACAATAATGACCTCTCCGTCCTAATACAACTCAAAAGATATCAAATAACTCCTCCAAAACATTCGCAAGCTTAACCATGGAATTTTTAACAAATGAGTCGATTTCAGAGTGCGGGCTTGCAAGGTCTTGCAAGCAAGTAAGCAGATAAAAGCTGTTTGATGTTTTAAAAAGCCCGTCCTTCGATTTTTTAAGATTGGCTTATTTGTAGTTCAAGCAGGTTTTACAATATTTAATGAATGCTTCATGACATCAGAAAATACTGCTGAGGTCATTGTTTTTCAACGGCCTTCAGCCCCATGTGCTTTTYTTTCACAGCGCTCAACAAAGGTTTATTTGTAGATCCATRCCACTACGATCTAAACTTATGAATTAAAGTAGATTTTTTAAAGTTAAAATCCTTTGCTAAAACAAATTTCAAGACGATTACTTGTGCTACAAGGAAAAAAATCACGATCTGAACGTTTTGGGATGCAGCCCTTCTAATTTACCAAATTGGTCAAATTGATTCAATCATCACTTTTCAACGAATTCTTTGATTAAAGTTTCAACTGAATCTAAAGTTGCTCCGCTGCAAAAATACAGAAACTACGTATGTAACTTAGCCTTACCTTAACGTTGGCACAACATGAGGTCCAATGAACAAATTTTAGGTGGTATTTCTTGATTTTTCAAACTTTTTTCCTCKATGCTAAATGACGATAGAGTAGATTGCTGGTGACAGTTTGACTGACATCGGTCATCGTGATCCCATTGGCTGGAA